GCGTCGTGGGCAGCTTCTGCTCCCAGCGGCGGAGCTGCCGTGTCGGGGCAGCCATTTTGCACCACGAGCTCTGGTCTGAAGGGCTAGGGGCAAGGCCTCTACCCCCGACAAAGTTTCATGTATGTAATTTTGTTTTGTTTGCTTGTTTGTTAGTTTTGGTTAAACGTGGGAGACATTTATTTACTTTCCCACATCGCCAATCATGGTTACGAGTGGCTAAGGTTTCTATCTCCTCAGGAAAACACAGCCCAATTGAGTGACTATCACATCCTTTGGAAAATTTCAATCTTTGGTCACAGCATTTAAGAGCTCCTGGTTTTGGTCCCACAAGCCCTTTTTGAAGTGACTTATTGCTTTACTTTCTAAATGCCCCCTGTTATCTTTTAAAGAAATTTTTACTAAAAATCATATATTTAAGGAGTACAACATGATGATTTTAGATAAACAGATATAGATAGAGAAATGATTACTACAGTCAAACTAACATATCTCCTCGCAGAGTTATTTCTTGTGTGTGGTGAGAGCACCTGAAATCTACTCCCTTAGCATATTTCCAGTGTTCAATGTAGTGTGATTACATAGTCATCACGCTGCACATTAGATCCCCAGAACCTGTTCATCTTAAAACCGAAAGCTTGTACCATTTGACCAACATTTCCCCATTTCCCCAGACCCTGGCAGCCCCCCTTGTGTTCTATGTTTCTATGAGTATACTTTTTCTTATCTTCATCTCTTACTTTTAAGTAACTTGGGCAAGTTACTTAACCCCTCTGTGTCTCAGTTTTATCCAGTTAAAAAGTAAAATAAGTACTTTTTCCTAGGATGGTTGTAAGGATTAAGTGGGTGATTTCTTCCTCGTCGCCGTCATGATCACCTTCTGAAGTGAGACCCCCCCCATCGTCTCTTTCCTGACTTGTCTCCTTGTCTTTTTGTGCCCCCTGACACTTCACGATTACTATAGCAGCCAAAGGGAGCTTACTGAAATGCGAATCTGATCTTGTCACCCCAGCCCTTAAAATCCTTCAATTTTACATCAAGGCAAAATGTAAACTTCTTAACACAATGATACATGACCTAGTCTGACGACCTGTCTAGCCTCATTGTGCTTCTCTTCCTGCCTCACCATTCATCACTGTTCAAGTTGCAGCCACACTGAACACATTTTGTGTAACACCCAAAACATGCCATGCTTTTTCTTGTATCCGGACCTTTGCTTATGCTGTTTCTTCTGCCTGGAAAGCCTGTCTCCAGCTTCACACCAAGTTTCTCCTCCTTCTGGTCCAGGTTAGATGCCTCTTTATATATCTCCACAGCACCTTGAGCTTCCTCCTTATGACACTAAATCATCATTGCTGGCTTTATTTAATATTTATCTTCTTTGACCTCGTAATCCTTTCTCTTCAGGCAAAGTGAGGTTCCTTCTCCTCTCTGCTCCCATAATATCCTGTCCTTATCTCTCTTACATCACTCTTCACTCTGTATTATAGTTGTCTGCTTCTCTGTCTATTCGAGCTAAATTGTAAGCGCCTAGAAGGTAGAGGCTGTGTCTTCTTTGTCATCAGTGCCTAGTGCTCAGTAGTGTTCAGTAGATATGTTTAACTGAATGAACAAATGAGTGGATCAAGGGATATATGAACTTATGAGAGTTCCCCAAAAGCTGGGTGCCTCAGAAAGTTTCAGTCCTTTGCACAAGAAGCTGCTAATAATAGTATTTATAGTGCCTTTCACTCTTGTTAATTTCAGGGACGAGGTTTGAAAGCTTTCGGGTTCTTGGGCTTTCATTATTGCAAACTGGATGAAGCAGTTAGGACAGGGACAGGTACTGGCAGCCTTTTCCTAGGATGCTTGTCATGTGCCTCCTTTTAAATAAGTCAGCTAATGAATACAATGAAATCATCATGGTGCAAATTAACCAGTATTCTCCCTTCCACTAGTTATCATCTGTCATTATTCCTTTCCAAGTAGTGTCATGGATAAATATAGGGAGAGATCATTACTTTGAGCGAGAAATATCTGCCTTTTGGTAACTGTCTTCTCCCTTTTTCTTGCTGACTTTGAGGGCAAATCATCTGTGCCTACTGTGCTGACATGAGACAGACACTTAGCTGGCCCTCTATTCGCATCCTCTCTCAACAGGGAAAAGTTGGCACTCAGGAAAAAATGAGTCCTTGACACAGGCTGTGGATCCTGCATCTGCAATGCACACAATCAATGGCTATATAAACAGGTCTCTGCCAGGTATGTACAGCCTGCTCAAGAATTCTCAAGATCTTCTGCATTCACCACAGAGCTCTCTTCTCCAGTTCTCCTCAGTTATCTAAAAATTAAGGTTTCTTTTGCTTAAATGTAAATGGGCATCCAAGGATGAACAGATATTTAGGGAAAGCCTGAAACACGAAGAGAATATGCAAAGATAAAGCAAAGCAGTATGCCTTGCCTTATCATCCCTTCCATCTGGATGTTCCTGAGTTACATCCTTTTATAATAAATATAATAAACAGGTTTCTAGTAAGTAAAAAAAGTAATAATAGGATTATATGAAAAAGAAACGATAAAAACAAGAATATGCTCACAAAATTAGGAATATGATTGTCAAAATACAAACTTAATAGAAAGTGGTATAAAGCAAATCTCCCAGAAAGCAAAACAAAAAGAGATTGAGAAAGCAAATCTCCCAGAAAGCAAAAGAAAAAGAGATTTTTAAAATCAAAGAAATGATAGAATGAAGTGTTAAAAAAAGAAAAGAGTTGAGTCTTTATATAAAAATTTCCCAGCAGGATAAATAAAAAAGTATCCCCACACAAAATTAGGTTTGTGGAATTTCAAAGAACAAAGAGAAGATATATAAGCTTCCCTGGGAGAAACAGGTCACATACAAAGGCATGAGAATTAGACTGGCAATATAATAAACCAATACCTTAAAAGTTCTAAAGGAAAAGTTATTTTCAACCTAGAATTCATAGCCAAACTATAACTTAACTTTGGGGGAAGAATAAAGACATTTTCAGAAATGGTAGCCCTTAGAAGCCACTGAATATGTGCTACAATAAAACTAGAGAGTAAACCAAGAAAGAGGAAGTTGGAAAATTCAGACACCCAAGAAAATAATGAAGGACGAGGAAGGATATTTTCTTAACTCTTTTCTATATTTTTCAAGAATTCTATAATTAACATGCATCATTTCAGAATTAGAAAAGAAATTAACTTTCAAAACATGCAAGTCCCTGCTCTCACATATCAAGTTAATTAACCTCTCTGGGCATCAGTTTCCTCGCCTCTAAGTGAGGGATGATGACTATAGTTTCTACATTCGTAGGGTTATTGGGAGTTAAAACTTGTAAAATGCTTTGGACAATGCTTGATGTTACACGAGTGCTCAGTAAACATTACTGTTATTAATTATGTTGCCATCATTGGCGTTAGATTGGATGTGAGAAGTGAGAGTGGGGACAAGAATAACTCTCACTTGCATAATTGAATTCAGGATGGTACCACTCATTCACTGAAATAAAGAAGTCTGGAATAAGATGAGGTGATAAAGATTGAAAATTTGCTTTTGTACCTGTGGGTTTTATGAGATATCCAGGTGAAGATATTGAGAAGGTATCAGTCTGTATCAGTCTGGAGTTAATACCATGAGAATGAATGATATTATTCAGGGAGAAAATTTGATTAACAAGAGAATAAGGCCTAGGGATGAGCCCTGGGGTGGTCCGTCATTTAATGGATGGGTAAAGAAGGAGCAGCCACAAAATGAGACAGAAGAAGGAGCAGTCTAAGCCTTAGGGGAACAAAACTCTGTTGAAACAGAGGCCAGGGGAGGAGAGAATTTCAAGAAGAAATGAATGGTCAACAGATGCAGATGAAGACTGAAAAATACCCATTGGATTTAGCAGCATGATAGTCATTGATGAGTTTGGCAAGAGCTGTTAGTTTGACAGTACCCCAGTGTCCTTGGAAAGTTTGGTTCCAAGTCAAGATAATAAAATTTGTAAGGACAATTTGTTCATCCTATCCTAGAAAGTGTTTTCCATTTCAAATTCTCTACTTCTTGCTTATAGCTGTGTTATTCTTACTTTACAGGTCTGATTGGATGTCATAAGAAATCAGTCTATTGGCATGTGATTGGGATGGGCACCACCCCTGAAGTACACTCAGTTTTCCTTGAAGGCCACACGTTTCTTGTGAGGAACCATCGCCAGGCTTCTTTGGAGATCTCACCAATAACATTCCTTACTGCTCAGACACTCCTGATGGACCTTGGCCAGTTTCTACTGTTTTGTCATATCTCTTCCCACCAACATGGTAATATCTGTGGATCTTTAAAATGAGTATTATAAATATCCAGCTCTTCTTTTAATGGAATTTACTGTCCACTGTCCAGTATAGGATTATGTTAGTTAGACCTCAACTGAGATTCCCTAGTTGCCAGTTTTCAGAGCAAATATTTCACCTTGCGTATAAGAGGGCTTGATTATTAGTAGTACTTGTGAATGTACTGGTGAATCTACCTGTGATATAGGGAGGGGAAAATGAGGTGGCAAGAGTGAGGAGGACAGTGTATCATTGTTTTCCCAGCCTGATCACGTTAAATAGGCTTCAGTACTATGGAGAGAGGGATTTTGGGTCATAGCTGAAGAGATGTTTTATGAGAAATTTAGGGAAAAGGAAAAAAAGTGCACTGTCTAGGTTGTAATCATAAGGGCTCCAGGATATCGGTAGTGATGCCCAGAGCATTATATAGCAAATACAAATGGATATTCTGAGCGAATGAGTGAGTCTTGAAAAGGGGGTAAAACATATATTGGAGGAGAGTGAGGCAGAAGGGAAACGGTGAGTGCAAAGACCACAGGAAGAAAGCAGAAAGCACCAGATAATGGGGAAGGTAATACATATAGGACAATGGCAAGAAAGGGTATTGGTGTGGAGAAGGGAACACTTAAGAGAAGGCCTTGAAGACCTAACAAGAAAGAAAACAGTCGTAAGAGTTAAGGCAAGAAAGGCTCATTGGAACCTGACATTCGTTTGTCTGACTCCAGATGGTATGGAAGCTTATGTCACAGTAGACAGCTGCCCAGAAGAACCCCACAAATGGATGAAAAGTAATGAAGAAGAAGATTATGATGATGTTTATGACTCTGACATGGATGTGGTCAGATTTGATGGTGACAGCGCTCCTCCCTTTATCCAAATCCGCTCAGTTGCGAAGAAGCATCCTAAAACCTGGGTCCACTACGTTGCTGCTGAAGAGGACGACTGGGACTATGCTCCCTCAGTCCTTACCTCCAATGACAGGCAAGTACCTTTTGACTCTTGGTGCTATCTCTTCCCCACAATCAAAAATTCTTCCCAGTTATTCAAAACAACAAATCCTTAAGCCATGTTTAAGGTTAGGTACAGGTATAGAATCAAATGGCAAGGGCATTAATATGTTTGGTAAATTAGCATAGCTAAACATCAGGGATGCTTATATTTTTCTCACTCCTTTCCTTGATTAAATCATATGAGCTATTTTAGAGTGGATTTTAGCAACCTGTCCTTTACCTAGAACTCTCCATTCCAACCTCTCATCTTTTTGTGTCTCACACAGAAGTTTTAAAAGTCTGTATTTGAACAATGGTCCTCAGCGGATTGGTAGGAAGTACAAAAAAGTCCGATTTATAGCTTACACAGATGAAACCTTTAAGACTCGTGAAGCTATTCAGTATGAATCAGGAATCCTGGGACCTTTACTTTATGGAGAAGTTGGAGACACACTTTTGGTAAGTTGAGGAAAAGATATAAGGTTGGGTAAGAAGACAAAGTCTGGAGGGTTTTGAGTTTTTTAAACCTTCATAATTCAGCCTTGTCTCCAATGGGCAGGATCTTTTAAAAATTATAAACGTTACGCAAATGTGGATTATAAATTTGTTTTAAAATATTATAGAACAAAATATTTAATGCCACCCATTAAACCTGACACTCCTTTGAAATACTCATTGCTTAGACTTTCATACACATCCTTCTACAACTTTTAGAAGGATTTTACATTTGACTTGTAAGGAAAAGAACAAGAAGAATATGTGACAGACAGTAGATATAGCCCACAAAGCCTAGGGCATTTACTGTCTGTCCCTTTCCAGAAAATGTTTCCTGACCCTTGATATAGCATATTAACAATACTTATGCTTCAAATAACAGTGGCTTTAAAAAATAGGGAGTTATGTTTTCACAATCGACTTAGAGATAGATGGCATGTCAACCGTAAGAAAATGCACAACCTAAAAGTTGAGAGTTATGTTTTATTTGGCGGACATTCTTAGGACTTCAAGCCCAGGAGACAGCGTCTCAAGTAACCCTGAGAGAACTGCTCCAAGGAGGCAAGTGGGGAGCCAGGGTATATAGGAGTTTTGCAACAAATGGCAGGTAGTAGGAACAAAAGATTACTGTTAATTAAAGAAAACCAGGTATCCCGAGTTAAGGAATTTAGTACTTTTCTATGTATGGGAAGATGCAAGAGTCTGGGCTTATTGAAATCATTCCTTTGAACTGCACCTCAGCTATCTGGAGCCAGTATCCTGTGCTTTCTCATCCTGCTGTTTCCTTAAGCTGCACCATTGGGTGTGGCTGCAGTCTGATGACTGCTAGACAGCCAGGCATTCTTTGTTTCCTCTCCTGAGTTACCTCAGGGCTCACTGATGGCTGCGACATCCTTTGTTTACTGATAGGGCAGGCAGGTTTTAACATGGCTGTATTTTGCTTATATATTTGTAAAAGGTTTTATGCATTATAAATATTAACACATTGTTATTTGTCTTTCAAATATTTTTCTCAGTCTGTCACTTGTACTTTAACTCCTTTGTGATGTCTTTTGTCCTATAAAAATTTTCAGTCTTTATGTAGTCAAGATCTTTTCTCAGTCTTTAAATTTATATTTTTCTGGATATTTTTCATTTATGTTTTCTGCCTAGGAACACCTTCACTACCTCTAAGAGATTATAAATATGGTCTACTATATTTTATTCTTTTACATTTACAGTTTTAGTTTTACAAAAAGCATTTTAATTGCTCTGGAAGTTACTTTTGGGTATAGAGCATCCTGTCAAATAGGGATTTCCCCAAGTGACAGCCAATTGGTCCAATCACTCCTTTCTTCACTAATTTTAAAATGCCTTTTTTATTATATACTAAAATGATAAAATCTGTTCTGTTTAACTGATCTGTTACCACACTGTTTTAATGACTGCAACCTTGTGATATGTTTTGATATTTGTAGGGCATGTCTACTTTCATTTTAATTCTTTAAAATTTTAATTAACTATTAATGTACAGTTTTTCTTCATGAATTTTATTTACCTGTTTTTGAATTAGCCAGTACAAATAACTCAAAAGGCAAAAAAGATTATGCAAGAAAAAGCAAGCTTTCCTTCCTCCCAAACTTCCAGTCCCATAGTCTGACCAGCTATCATTGCTCTCAGTTTTTTATATTCCCTTTCAGAAACAGTATATACATATACAAGTGTATGTACACATATTTCACACAAAAATAGAAGCACTATGTAGATTTTAACAATATATCTTGGATATCATTTCATATCAATATATGTAGGTCTACCTCATTCTTTCATGTTCGTAAGTTATGCTCTTATATATGCTGAATCCTATAAGGCTTTTCTGTTAATGTGAGAATTTGAGGACTATTTTTTACTTTTTATACAGAAATTATCAAACATACCCAGAAGTAGAGAGAATAGTGAAATAAACTTCTTTGAACCCATCACTCAGCTTCAACAGTTACCAACAAATGGCTAACCTCATTTTGTCTATAAACCAACTAGGCCTAACAGACATCTACAGACCAGGCCACCCAACTCCAGTAGAATACATATTCTTCTCAAATGCACAAGAAACATTCTCCAGGATAGATTATACATTAGGCCACAAACCAAGTCTCAAAAATTTTAAAGAAAACTATAGTTCAAAATTCCTTGTGAATATAGATGCAAGAATCCTCCACGTTATTAAGCCAAATCTAGCAACATTTTTAAAAGATCATACACTATAATCAAGTGAGATTTATCTCAGGAATGTAGGGATGGTTCAACATATGAAAATTAATGCAATACAACATATTACTTGAATAAAGAACAAAAGCACATGATCATGTAATACGTGAAGAAAAAGGACTTGACAAAATGCATTACCCGTTCGTGATAGAAAAAACTCAATGAACTAGCAACACAATGCAAGGTCCTTAACTTGAAGAACATCTAAGAAAAACTTATAATAATACGCTGAAAGACTAAATGTTTTCCCCCTGAGATTAGGAACAAGTTAAGATGTCACTCTTGGCGGGGTGGGGGCAGGGGCGGCAGCTCCGGGGGCGCCGAGGCCCCGCTCGCCCCATCACGCCGTTGCTGCCCAGACGCTGCGGGCCCCCCACCCACCCGTCCACCCTGCTGCACCTGCGGAGACTCGGGAAAGGGCCGGGTGGGCACGGGGCAGTCTCCACGTCTTCGAATCTGCCCTTTCAGTTGTTTTCTTGACGTGACCTTAAGTCACCCAGAACTAACTGGGACGCCTCGTCCAGCGGTCGAAGGGGAACCGGAGGGTCTCTCTACCTGACCGAAATGGTAACCTGGCAGCAGGGGAAACTGGCGAGAGGTTCTAGAAGTCGCCTGAGAACTTTGTGCCATCAGCAGCTCCTGCCTAAAATCGTCGAGGGCTGCTAAAATCGTCTTTAGGAAGGCTGGCAGCCAAGTTTGACACCCCAGCGTTCCATACAAGGATAGACGGTGACTTGGGAGGTAATTTCCACATCCTGCTATTTGTGTTCAGGGTCGAGGCTTATGGACGACACGAAGGGAAGACAAGGGAAGGACGATGGATGCGAACACGTCCACGGAAGCATCGCCCCAGCTCTGAACTGGGTCGGCCTACTGCTGGCATCGCAGCAAAGGGTCAAGGCCAGGCCAGGCCCGCAGAGGGTGCCTCCTAACTTCACTGTTGACCCCAAGTGCAGACTGTCCTACAAACAGGTTAGAAAGGATGACTTGGGTTCCTAGTCATTAGAAGTTTTTTGAGGTTTCTGTTTAAAATTTTAAAAGAGATTTAGAAACACTAGGCATATTTTGGAGGGAAAGCAGATGAAAGAAAAGCGTTTTCCTTCTGTGTGAAAAAATAAAGGTATGGCTTATACTAGGTGGGCGTTCCCACCTACAAGGGTCAAATTCAGAATAAAATTGAAGAGTGTTTGAAAATCAACTCAATCAATGCCAAGTATGGAGGATGCAAAAATGAACTGAAAAGTGGCTTTTTTCATAAGAAGTTTACAATTTAGTAAGGAAAAAAGAGAACAGGACTTGTGGAGAGAACATATTTCAAGAAGAGTGAATGCGATATGTAGTCTGGTTTGGCAAGAAAATAATGCTGCTGTAGAAGGGCATGGTGAGTGATGAGCTCCATGGATGCGGTTAAAGATGTTGTGAAAGGCCCTACATACTCAGCTGGTTTTGAACACAATTGAACAGATGAGGAACCTTTGATAAGAAAATAAAGGAGTGTGGACTTCCCTGGTGGCACAGTGGTTAAGAATCCACCTGCCAATGCCGGGGACACGGGTTCGAGCCTGGTCCAGGAAGATCCCACATGCCACGGAGCAACTAAGCCCGTGCGCCACAACTACTGAGCTTACACGCGGCAACTACTGAAGCCCGCGTGCCTAGAGCCCGTGCTCTGCAACAAGAGAAGCCACCACAATGAGAAGCCCGCGCACCGCAACAAAGAGTAACCCCCACTCGCCGCAACTCGAGAAAGCCCAGGCACAGCAATGAAGACCCAACGCAGCCCAAAATAAATTAATTAATAACTTTAAAAAAATAAGAAATAACAGATAAGTTATGCCAAGGTCCATAGAATTATGTCATCTGCCTGAACCAAAATCTGTCCACACATCTTAAAAAGAAAAACCATGAGGTGTACAAGGAGTACAAATAAAGTTACACATGATTCATACAATACTAGGAAATGGAGGGTACCACAAACATCAAATTACCAGAAAATTGGTAAGTAGCAAACTCCAGCAAGAGCAACCTTCCTCCACTGCTGCAAGACTCTAGACTGATACTGGAGTTAGAAGAAAAGGCTTCGATTTTATTTTTGTATTGCAATATAGTTGATATACAATATTATGTTATTTTTAGCTGTGCTACATAGTTATTTGATATTTGCATACATTATGAAATGTTCACCACAGTAAGTCTAGTAACCATCTGTCTCCATACAGATTTATTGCAATATTATTACTTAGGCTGAATATGACATCTCCATGGCATGTTTCTTATTTAAGTGGAGGTTTGTACCTCTTAACCCCCTTCACCTATTTTGCCCTTCCACCACCCTCCCCTCTGACAACCATTGGCTTGTTTTCTGTATCTGTGAGTCTGTTTTGTTTGTTTTGTATTTTAGATTCAACATATAAGTGAGATCATAAAGTAAAAAAAAAAAAGGACGTCCACTCTTGTTACTTTTATTTAATACTGAACTGGAAGCCAATGCAATAAGGCAAAAAAAAAAAAAAGGAATTAGAGGTATTTGGATTGGAAAGAAAGAAATAATACTGTGTTTATTTGCTGATGATATGATCTTTTATGCAGAAAATCCTAAGGCATCTACTAAAAAGCTATTAGAACTAATAAACAAGTACAGCAAGTTTGCAAGATTCAAGATCAATACTAAAAAATAAGTTGTATTTCTATACACTTCAATGAAAAATCTGCAAATGAAATTAAGAAAACAGTTTCATTCATGATAACATAAAAAAAGAATGAAATAACTCGGGAAAAATGTAACAAAAAAGGTGCAACACTTGTACAGTGAAAACAACTAATTGTTACTGAGATAATTTTTTAAATATCTAAATAAATGGAAAAACATATATTTATGGATTGGAAGAGTCACTTACTGTTAAGACTCTTCCAAATTTGTCTATAGATACAAATTGAATCCCTATCAAAATCCCAACTGCCTTTTTTGCAGAAATTGACAAGCTGATCCTAAAATACAGATGGAATTGCATAGGACCCTTAATATACAAATGAATCTTGGGGGAAAACAAACAACAAAGTTTGAGGACTCACACATCAACTTCAAAAATTACCACAAACTATAGTAATCATGACAGTTTGGTACTGGCATAAGGATAGATATATAGATCAATGGAAAACAATTGAGAGTCCAGAAATAAACCTACATATCTATGAACACTTGACTTATTTTTTTAATTGAAGTATAGTTGATTTACAGTATTATGTTAGTTTCAAGTGTACAGCATGGTGATTCTGTATTTTTGCAGATTATACTCCATTATAGGTTATTATAAATATTGGGTATAATTCCCTGTGCTATACAGTATATCCTTGTTGCTTATCTATTTTATGTATAGTAGTTCGTATCTGTTAATCCCATACTCCTAATCTGACACCCCCCCGTTTTCCCTTTGGTAACTATAGGTTCCTTTTCTATGTCTGTGTGTCTGTTTCTGTTTTGTAAATAAGCTCATTTGTATCATTTTTTTAGATGCCACATGTAAGTGATATCGCATGAAATTAGTCTCTCTTTGACTGACTTTACTTAGTATGATAATTTCTAGGTCCATCCATGTTGCTGCAAATGGCATTATTTTGTTCTTTTTTATGGCTGAGTAGTATTCCATTGTATATATATACCATGTCTTCTTTATCCATTCATCTGTAGATGGACATTTAGGTTGCTTCCATGTCTTGGCTATTGTAAATGGTGCTGCTATGAACATAGGGGTGCATGTATCTATCTTTTAGAATTAGAGTTTTCATCTTTTCTGGATATATGCCTAGGAGTGGAATTGCTGGATCATATGGTAGCTCTATTTTTAGTTTTTTCAAAGGAACCTCCATACTGTTTTCCACAGTGACTGCAACAATTTATATTCCCACCAGCAGTGTAGGAGGTGAACACTTGACTTTTCACAAATGTCCTAAGACCAATCAATGGGGAAAGAATAGTATTTTTAACAAATAGTACTGGGACAACTGGATACCCACATGAAAAAGAAAGACGTTTGACCCCTTCCTTATACCATACACAAATTGAAGGTGGATCAAAGATATAAATGTTAGAGCTAAAACTAAAACCCTTAGAAGAATATACAGGAGTAAATCTTTGTGACCTTGGATTATACAATGGTTTCTTAGATATGACATCAAAAGCAACAAGCAACAAAAGATAAAATAGATTGGACTTCATCACAATTAAAAACTTTTGTGCCTCAAAGGATACCAGTCAGAAAGTGAAAAGACAACCCATGGAATGGGAGAAAATAATTGTAAATCATATATCTGATGAGGGAATAGTATCCAGAATTTATAAAGGACTCTTACAACTCAATAATAAAAAGGCAAATAGGGACTTCCCTGGTGGTCCAGTGGGTAAGACTCCGTGCTCCCAATACAGGGGGCCTGGGTTCGAACCCTGGTCGGGGAAGTAGATCCCGCATGCATGCCACAACTAAGTAGTCCGCATGCCACAACTAAAGATCCCGCATGCCGCAATGAATATCCCACGTGCCGCAACTAAGACCTGGCACAGCCAAAACAAACAAATAAATAAATAAATGTTTTAAAAATAAATTAAAAAGGCAAATAATCCAACTGAAAAATAAGCAAAGGATTTGTATAGACATTTCTCCAGGGATGATATATAAAGGAGTGACCAATAAGCACATGAAAAGATGCTGAACATTATTAGCTATTGGGGAAATGCAAATCAAAATCGCAATGAGATACCATTTCACACCCACTAAAATAGCTATAATCAACAAGGCAGATAGTAACAAGCATTGGTGAGGTTGCAGAGAAATTGGAAGCTTCATAAACTACTGATGGGAATGTAAAAATCTGCAGCCACTTTGGAAAACAGTTTGTCCATTCCTCAGAATGTTAAAAATGGAATTACCATGTGATCCAGCAATTTCTTCTATATACTCAAGAGAAAGGAAAACATAGGTCCACACAAAGACTTGTATGTGAATGTTCATAGCAGCACTATTCATAATAGCCCCAAATTGGAAGCCATTCAAATGTTCACCAATTGGTGAATGAATAAACAAAATGTAGTGTACCCATATAATTGGAACACTAGTCAGCAATTAAAAGAAATGAACTACTCATACATGATACAACATGGATAAAACTCAAAACATTATGATAAGTTAAAGAAGCGAAGCAAAAAAGGCGTATTACATGATTTAATTTATGTGAAATATCTAAAAATGGCCAATTTATAAAGCAGAAAGCGTATTAGCAGCTCAGGACTCCAACTGTGTGTGTTCCACTAAACCAGTCAGAAAGTGCCTCACCTTTAATGACCCAGCATCAGAAATCACACAGCATTTCATGGCATAATCTGAGTAAAAGCAGTCAAAGCCCACCCAGAATCAAGGAGAGGGAAACGTTGGCCTACCTCTTGTTGGGAGGAGTGTCAAAGAATTTGGGAACCATGTTTTAAAACTGCCACATAAATTGACAGCTTACTTCTCAAAAGCAACAAAGGAAGCCAGAAGACAATGAAATTATGTCTTTAATGTGTTGAAAGAAAATCACTATCAACCTAGCAAGAATTACCATTTTATTGGCAATTTATACCAATATTCAAGGAATATATAATTTTATATTAAAATTTTAAATGTAGAGTATAAGAAAAAAGTAAAGACCCACCAGTTCTTTATTAGGCTAGCATAACCTTAGTTGTAAACCTGAGCAGGACAGTATGAGAAAGGAAAATTAAAATTACAGACCAATTGCATTATAAACATGGATTCAAAAAATCCTAAACAAAAATTAATAAACCCAATGGAGCAAAATATTAAAAAGATAATACATTATGACCTGGTTGATTTATCGGAGTACTAGATGAATTTAACATTAGAAAATCAAACATGGTAATCCACCATATTAACACATAAAAGGGTAAAATATAATTTGAAAATCTCAATAGTTTCATACAAATATTTATCAAAATTCAACATCCATCCATAATAAAAAGTCATAGGAAATTGAGATCACAAGGGGCATCCTTATCCTGATAAAGATCTGAAGAAAATCTATAGGCACCAGTCATACTTGGTGGTGAAACTCAGAAATCCTTCTGTTTAAGATCAGATCAGGACAAGAAACAGTTAACAAGTATCACAACCTCTATTTAATATTTTACTAGAAATCCTAGCCAGTATTCTTAGGAGAAAAAAGTTTTAAGATTGGAAATGAATAAACAAAACTGTTATTATTTGAAGATTAAGTAAGTGAATGACAGTGGGAGCTATATTTGTCATTGTTGAAGAGGGTAATTATAAATAAACAAAAAGGAAAGGCTAGAATAAATCATGTGATACTGGATTACAGTTGGGCACATTACTCTGCGTTCATGTTCGCCAAATATAGATACAGATGGATGCATACAGAAATAATTACATATGTATGTGTATGTTTAGGTTAGTATATTTCCTAGCGCTGTCCACTGAGAGGATCTAGAAGCAATGACATCCCAGTAGCAATGAGCACACCCAGATCTTGGTTTCTAATACCATTCCCTGATGAAAGGAACCAAGGCCATTTGGAGAATGGATGATTCTAGGGCTGGGCCAGGGAAAACATAAGATGAGCCTGGAGAATCTTGTGGTTCCAGAAAGTAAGAAAGTGCTCAAAAAATAAAAGGATGGGACAATGCTAAAGAAATACAGGAGCTTCTAACAGCCAAGGTGGAAGAATATGAGCAATAAAATAAATAACGTATAAAATAAATATCCACTGAGCCACCAGGGAGGCCCAGAAGTTGGTTTTTTATCCTCATATCATAGAACCTCAGACATAGAGCCCAGTTGATATGTTCAGGGTTCTTAATGCTGCTTCCATGTTATCACTCTCTTTTAAAGCTCGTGCAGTCAGACAACTCCAACTGCCACCCTTGCTTAATGCTGTAATCAGCAGTCCTCCTGGTCACGCCTGCGCATCCAGTGAAGATTTTATCACGTGAACCAGTTTTCCCTTCCACTGTTGGGGAATTCAGGGCCCAAATGGTGGGAAAGGCTGAGGGGAAGCAGTGCCCTCAGCAGACATCCAAATTTCAATTACTAATGTCAGAAGGTGCAAGGAATTCTTCCTGAAGTGATTAAAAGAATTTTAAATAAATGGAAAGGAACCTTTAGTGAGAAACCTAAGTAGCTGTCTGAGCAATTTTATGAAAAGAACAAACATTCTGAGCTTTATCTAGGCTCAAATCCCCATACTATAGATACAAGGCAGCTTTTGTTTTCTGGAGGTAGGCCACACTTTTCTTGTTGATCCTAATTGTCTTGTACCTAATCTTATATCTCATTTATACTTTCAGATTATATTTAAGAATAAAGCAAGCCGACCATATAACATCTACCCTCATGGAATCACTGATGTCAGTCCTTTGCACTCAGGAAGATTTCCAAAAGGTAAGTGTTACCTCAGTTTTATAGGTCTTCCTTACCTGTAGATACGGATGAGGGCACAGCCTCAGTAACAACTAAAATCATGCACATTTATCACCCCACCATCCTTATTTTCTTAAGTTTTATTTTATTTGAAAATATGTCTTTATTTTGCCTTCGCTTTTGAAGGATAATTTTGCTGGACATAGAATTCTCGGTTGAGAGAGTTTCTTTTTCCTTTTAGCACATTCAAAATATTGTTTTACTATCTTCTTGCCTTTATAATAGCTAAATTCTATTCAGTCATTCTTCCCCTGTATGTCATTTTTCTCTGGCTGTGATTTTCTTCATACTTATCTTACTTGGGGTTCACTGATCTTCCTGTGAGTCACAATATTTGTATTTTTGTTTTTAATAGCCAGGCCTTTGTCCCCAAATGAAGTAATAAGTTGCACTTCTACTAGTCATGTATGAAAATATAATTTCCCACATCCTTGATAGCTAGAAGATAATAGTCTTTTAAAATCCTGCTAATCTGGTGGGTGAAAAGTGGTATTTCATTGTTACTTTAATTTTACTTGGGGATGAATATTTATTTTATCAAAATAATACATGCTTAAAATATTGAAAGGCTGTAAGTTCCACTCCCTAGAGGCGTCCATTTTTAAGCATTTCTGTTTTAGATTTTTGGTAGTTATCTCTATAGCTCTAAAAAATCATTTATATGCTTCTCCTTTGTTTTTCAGCTTTAGACATTATATATTTATTTTGTGTTAAATGAGGATTTAGCATTGTGCTTCTTCCATTCCAGTTGTTTTAGACTTTTATCAGTGCTTTTAGTTCCTCAACTGGCTATCATTAGAATTTTTAAAAACATGCTAAATACCTACGTTTTATGTACATTAAGGTACTAACAACAGTTTCCCATTCCTTCTCCTCTATACTTCCATTTCCCCACTGCTGCCAGCTATACCTTTACTTTTATAAAACTAAAGTTGATAACATTTACATTTTGCACTGTAATTTCAAATAACTCCTTGCTTTTTCTATATATTTATTCTAAACTTTAAAAGTCAAAAAACCAGCATTTATATTATTTTAGTATGTTTCTTATTATAAGTATATGAGTTTACTGCAGAACTAGGTGATATGCTATGATTATTCTTTTGTCTACAGTTCCAATGATTTTACTGTTAAGGTCAAATGGATTATCCTTCTTTATTCTCTACCAGTAGTTCAAAATCATGGTAAATTTTAGTTTGCTTTATATTAGGACCATGCTGATCTTGGAATTTTTGTGTTTGTATTCCTGAAAAAAGACTTTTTTTTCTTTTTTGAAAATATTTTGTTGCAGTGTTTTGTTAATAAATTTATTTTATTTTTGGCTACGTTGGGTCTTTGTTGCTGCACGTGGGCCCCCTCTAGTTGTGGTGAGTGGGGGCTACTTCTCATTGCAGTGTCTTCTCTTGTTGCGGAGCATGGGCTCTATGTGCACAGGATTCAGTAGTTGTGGCTCGTGGGCTCAGTAGTTGTGGCTCGTGGGCTCTAGGTCGCAGGCCCAGCAGCTGCAGCACACAGGCTTAGGTGCTCCGCGGCATGTGGGATCTTCCCGGACCAGGGCTCAAACCTATGTCCCCCACATTGGCAGGTGGACTCCTAACCACTGCGCCATCAGGGAAGCCCCGACTTTCTTTTCTTTTATCAGGAGAAGAAATGTATGCCTTTTCATCATATCCCTTAGGTCTTCTGGCTTCTTAATCATGCTGTTTATTGGTATCTGATCCTTTTTTCTTCTAAAGATGTTCTTGTAGTTCACCAGCTTACTATTCTAATTTGGATTATATGCTTTCTAGGCCTGCTACAAAGCTGCCATCTTTGGATATTTTTTATTTGGACTTGTAGGCTAGTGCCATTACTGCTCCTATCTTGTACATTTCTGGTTTTTGATTTCTTTTGTTTTTCTGGAAGTATACCTTCAGTATACTTCTGAGTACATTTAGTATATAGGGGGGGAAACTTTATGAGTCCTTCAGTATTATATGATGTATAGATAGGCTGGTTATAAATAATTTTCAATCCACTGTTTTCTAATACTCATTGTTGCTGGTGAAAATTCTAATGCTAAATTGATTTGCAATTCCTTTATGGGAGAAGGGCAATGTAACAGAATTCTGGGGAGATATTGAATGTGTACCCTGAAATTTGGAGGCATACGCAAATACAATTCCTGGTAACTTGCTCTTTATGTGGAAAACTCTGAAGGCTTTACTGCTCATAACTAGCAGATAAGAAGAGAGGGTAAGAGTGGAGCAGTCTGCCCTTCTGCTGTTTGACCTGGCTAGGATGCATGAGTTTTCTCCGTAAAAAGTACATACTGTTGCAAGTAGCTGGCTTGCTCTCTTTTGAAGATACCTTGCCTAAGAAGGCAGCCTGACAGGGTGAGGGATGCCAGAAATAACAGGCTCTTGCATACATCACTAGACATAAGAAGAGCTGGGGAGGGAGGAGGGCTGCGGAAGGATAACTGAAGTAAGCACCTCTCATGTATACGGTGCTGAGGTCCTGAAGGTTACTCCAAGGAAACCATACATGTACCCTAAGAAAAGACCAGCATCTCAGCACCTGCCACACAGAAAGCATTGGTGACCAAACAGTTTAGTCAGAGAGAGAGTGCTCACACAGCAGGACCTACTAAGCAAAACTCTATTTGCCCTTTCCTCTAATACCCATCTACCCTCACTCCCTATTACGTTAACCCGGACCTATGGTTAGGGAATGGATATAGACTGGATCTTTAGGTATTAAACATATGCAAAAGTGAGTTTTAATTACTAAAATCAGACAGTTCTTGTCCTGAGGACCCTTTAGCCCAAGGGCAGATTTTAATTCTTGCTTCCATTCCTCACAGAGGCCAGATACCACAAGTCTTGATACCACATGTGAGTTAAAACTTCAGTGTGCAGTCTTTCAGCATCTATTCAGGCCACTCTGGCTTTGTTGTGTCTTTTTTTTTTTTTTGGCACTTGGGTTTTTTTCTTCTTTATACATTTTCAGTTATGTATTTAAAATGTTTAAAAATATTATTATCTATTATTTCTATTAGTGGGTAGACCTGCTCATTTCAACTCAAACTAACATGCTAGCAGAAATCTCCTGAACCTTTTTTTTTTTTTTGCGGTACGCGAGCCTCTCACTGCTGTGGCCTCTCCTGTTGCGGAGCACAGGCTCCGGGCGCGCAGGCTCAGCGGCCATGGCTCACGGGCCCGGCCGCTCCGCGGCACGTGGGATCTTCCCAGACCGGGGCACGAACCCGCGTCCCCTGCATCGGCAGGTGGACTCTCAACCACTGTGCCACCAGGGAAACCCTCCTGAACCTATTTTTTT